TATCCCTGTGTAGCTAAATCTATTATGTAGTTTTTACCTTCACTCTGTGTGTGTGCATGCATGTATGTCAAACTTCAACAGCCTGATTAAATTAGAAGTGGCTTTAAAATACATACTTCTGAGGAAGTATGTCAACATAACTAAGAATAGGTAGTTTTAGCCTTAAATCAAATTGATTTTCTTGATTGTTTCACTACTCCACCTTTTAGTCTACCATCACTATAACCAAAATTCCCATGTTGCAAGAGCATACATTCTCTCCACTGATGCCTATGAAATTCTGAAGTAAATCATTGAATTTACATCTAGGCTAATAAAGATGACAATCCTTATGCCAGCAACTCAAATGAAAATTATGTTTTCTGAGCATGGTTACATGAACTAACTTGTGTTTACATGAACACACCATTGATTTGTGCTAGAGCTACACTTGACAAGATTTTCCTCCTTGGAAGTGATCCAATGAAAAGTTCAATACCTGACAGGTTTTGGGGGGTTGGGAAGGTGGTGTCATCTAGTCCACTAGGTTTTAATCTAAGAAATTATGCACTTCAGTGATGCCCAGGCCATTTTACAGGGAGAGCCTTGCAAAAAAAAAAAGCAACAAAAAACCAACCAGATCAAAGCTGCATGTTAATAGCAGTATTTCAAGTAATCTGCTTTTGCCAAATATCATATTTGTCATACAAAGCAACCAGAGAGCTGCACATGGAGGATAGGCAGCTGAAGAAATTTCACTGCTTAATCTATTATACTTAACTGATGTCCTGATGAAAATGAGAACTCTGGTAGCTTCAGAGTGAATAAAGTGGGAAGTGAGAGGAATTTTTAAACTGTGTTAATTTACTGTAATATAAAGAAGAAAACGTTTAAATAATCATGTTACATAACTGACATTTTAAATAAACAGCATGTTGTTAACAGCCTGGCAAGTGTCTTCAAACTGAGCATGACAGTGCTAATGTGAGGGTGGAAGAATCACCTCTCATGTATTCTTGTACTGAATGCTGGGAATGGGATTCATCTTACCTAACTTTAGGCCTCTGCCTGCTTGGGGTAGACTTCAGCTCCAGATCCAGACATGTAAGTAGGTGTAAATTCAGTGTCTAAGATGACTAAGTTATACTCTTTGCTAATCTGGTCAATTTAGTCACTGCAGTACAGAGAGCTACTTAGACGGTCAGAAGTGGGTGACTATTTTTGACAGAGCTGAATAGCTTTTTCACTTCTGCTAGCTATATTGGCTAGATGTGGCATTCAACCCTGTTCCATAACCTTTGGTGCTTAGTGCCATCTGAGATTCCCCAGATGTCCAATATGTCAGCTGAAGGCTCTGCAAAGCGGAGCCTATACGAGACCCACACTATCTTATCACAGCAGTTGGAGTCCATGCTGGGTACCCTGGGACATATGAGATAACATATATGTTAGGTGACTGAGGTACACCCTCATTGATTGCAGTAGAGACTTAAACATCTGACTCACAAGCAGTCATCTTCCTGTACATATGTAAATGTAGTGTCAGTCTGTCTCAACTTGGATGGTTAATGCTGCTTAAATTGCCCAAGCAATTTCTAGCTATGCTCTAGCTCCTACTGCAGAAGTACCTGGATTCTCTTCAGGTCATAAGGTGTATTCACCAACGTTGCACGCATCTGTAATACTCAAGGCAAGTAATTACACTAAATACATATGTTTAGCCAGCTGAAGCCTGCCTTCAGCTTCTAATCTAAGGTAGTTGTTAAATTACCTCTCCAGACAACAGAAAGGTATAGAAACTTCCATGGGTCTACTCACCCTTTTTGAATTGTGACTTCTAAAACTGATTTTCTGCTAAGCACAGTGGACAATAACACAACTTGCTGAGAGTAAAAGAAATAATTTTCAGGTAGAAAAGATGGTGACAGTGTCCAGGAGTGTTAGCTTTATTTCACAAATGGATCGTCACTGTTATTGACTTGGTCTTTGTTGAAGAGACATCTAAGTACCCCTGTACAAATAACTTGCTGACCAGAAATAGAACAAGGGAACACAAGCAGTAGTACACATAGATGTTATTAACATACAGACTGTCAGAAATGGCACCAGAACACATGGTATTCGATTTATGAGTTACGTAGGCTCATCCAGAGAGTATTTCCTGAGTGTAAATTTCCTCAGGAAAAAAAAAAAAAAAAAAGAGCTTATTACAGAGTGCTCCTTAAGCAGTATCACAGTATTTTGCCTTTCTTATTTAGCTTGTGTTATTTGTCTCCCACATTTTGTGTGAACAAGGGAAACCCTTTATCTCCAAGACCCTTACCTCCAGGTCAAGGGACTACAGTGTATTCGAGCCTTAGCCTTACATAATGAACTGTAAATCCTCAGTCTGTTGTCTAGACCTTTATTTGCTCTGCTTGCATTTCCATGTGACAGGAGGTATATAAACTTGAGGCCGAATGGCACCATGCACCCAACAGAGCTTATCACAGCAGATCGAGCACAGACCCTTCAGACTAGAACTTGTTTATATCTTGACTTAGGGCTTAGGCAGAGCAAGTTCAGGTCTTCCCCCCCAAAAAAGACCATGTAAATAAACTTCTTACTGATTTTAGCCAAGTCTGTAACTAAACTTCACTTGCAGTATAATTTTATACATCTCAGGGTGGCTGTTTCCCTGTGAGGCTTCATAATATGGGTACAGAAAAACTCTGTCAGGCTTCATCGCTGCTGTTTTGTTACAGGAAGCCTGAGTACCTTTGAACACAATTTCACTGCATGTGCTAGCCAGACCCAAGGGCTCTTTGAAAAAGAACTTGAGCTGTGAAAGAATGTAATATCTCCAAGGTTGCAAAGATACTGCATTCTGTTATGATACTATTGTTATATTTTGAATCCAACTTCTGTAGTGTTTTGGAAGACCGATCAGACATGACAGGCCAAAACTTCTGTTCATCCGGACATAGGATTCTATGCTACTTCAAGTAAGACTGAGAAAATACTTTGCCTTCTGCTTGCATGTCATGCCTTTCTCAATCCCTTAGCTTATTTTGTAAGATGACATTTATCCAGATCATACAAAGCACCTACTGGTTGGTAGGATTTGGGCTTTTTTGACCTATAGAACTAAACCTTTGTACATCACTGCAAATTACTGAAGGTGGGATATGTTATATAGCTTTATGACTTCCTTTTAACATGGAAATCTCTGTTTGGATTCAAGTGGACTCATAATCTCATCTTCCTCAGAAAAAATCCATTATATAACTCCAAATCTGGAAAAAAAAAATAATGTGTAAGTGGAGTCCTTTTCAGCCAGCATTTTACTAGAAATTGTATTGTAATTTGACAGTTCAATGATCGATGTTTTATTCAAATTTAGTGAAATAAAACCTAATCACACAGAAAAAGCTTTGACAAATATGGTTAATAACATCTTTCCCAATGTTTTATCAGGGCACATATTGTACAAAGTTAATGCAAAATAGCTATATGTGCATTGATAAAAAAAATGGATTTTAGAATGAGCTAAAATTATTCAGTTAAATTATTTTATATTTTTGACAATCTTATGTTGTCAACTTTTAAAAATGAATGTAACATTTATAGGTGTAAATGAGAAAATTATCATCAGAACACATTAAATAAAAGAGGAATTATTGTGCTTACCATGTGTGACTCATTGAAGTGTGGTGGGCAGTAGGTTCTGTGTAGTAACCTGAATTGTACTGAGGACAACATACATTTTTTTAGTCTTTTCTGTCTCTTTCTTCAAAGACTCATGAACCAAACCTCCATGCAGTACAGATGAATAGAATTTTGACTATTTTTCTGAACTAACCTTATATATTTATTAAAGATGTGCAAGCTGTTTTAGAAACAGTAGGATGGAAACTGGCTTGAGGAACATAAGCTGAGGAACATAAGCCAAGGAACAAAACTGAAAAAAGTCTGGCTGCTTTTATGAAAATGATTGCATATTGTAATCGGCATAACTTTTATAGTAGGAACATCTCCCACATGTCAGCCAACACAGCCTACATAAATCCTTTCTGTAGTTTTTGGGCTCGGGTCCATACAAGTCAGTCAAATTACATTATTGCATGCAGATGCTGAAAAATACTGCTGATCTCAGTGCTTCACGGTCTCATTCTTCATCCTGCTTATCCTGACTGAGAGTGTAAGCATAAAAAGACTTCAAGAGAATCAAACTCCAGAAATACAAATTCCTGCTATAATGTGTAATTGGACCCTTGTCTGACCTCATGGACAGAAAAAAGATGATATTATAATGCTTAATACTAAGAAAAAATAAATTAAAGGATAACAGTCATTTCTACAGAGTTCATGAAGAAGAAATGAACAGAGCATGAAGTTAATTAACCCCTGAAAAACTGATCCCAAAACCAGAACAAGTATAGATTTATTCTTATTGCCCAATCACTCTCTTAACTCCATAAAATTACTTCAGATTTTCCCTTCATCTCACTTTCCCTACAGATCCATCTTTCCTCCTCAAGAGGAGGAAATTGTAATATGAATTCTGGAGGCCTGAAAAATTTCACATATGTTTTGTTCCACTGTACAATGTGCAAATGTATTTTTGTTATGTTACTCTTTGCAACATGTTCATCAATAATAAAAAGCATGGCAAATTTATGATGTATTTATTATTAGATGTTATTTTATTTTAAAACTTTGAACTAGTTAATCAAGAGGAGGAACGATCCTATCCAACAAACATTAGCAGGTATTGGCTTACTCACGTGAACTTAATTGTTACAGAAAATGTACTGTGATTTCTGTGGATCTGTTTGAAAAAATCTGTATTTCCTGCAAACAACACAACTTAGCAAACACACTACACAAAGGAATCGTGGTTCCTTCTTGATACTGTCGGATTCAGAGCTTTGCCCACAACTTCTCCCTGTAATATGTCGCAGTGGAGTCTTAGTCACCCAGAGTGATTTCATTGCACAACTGAAGAAAAGGTCAGATCAAATGAAAGTTTGGTAGGACTGGGAAGGAGATGGGTAAACAAAGAAACAGAATGAGTTAGGCCTTATTAAAAACAGTTGCTGTGACATGTCTTACCTTTAGGACTCTTGGACACTGCTCTAGTTCCTTAAAGTAACCTGCAGCTCTATACACAAGAATAGTACCCCCATTCCCAAAGATTACCTGCAAAAGCTAAACAATGAGAAGTCTCTGAGATATATCATTCACATCACATATAAATCTGTGTGTATATAAAAGAAGAAGGAATCTAAAAAGACGAACCATGAAACATCCATTTGAAGCATCTTTTCACTGGATGTAACCACTGGAATAACTAGCCATCTCAAGACAACAGTTAGCTAGACAAAAATAGAAATAGGAGGCTAATGGAAGGAGATTTCTGAAAGAAAATTGTCTGAAGGGTAAACTAACGTCCTAGAGGAAAAGGGTGACAGGAATTAGAATGACAAAGTTATAAGGATAATCTACAACTGAAAGAGAGATCATAATTCTTTCAATCTCCCCCCACTTCCTGATTTTTATTGTGCCCTCAGGGCATGACTACAACATACACAGTGAATAATAAACAATGCAATAGGTCCTAGAGGCATTCTCTATTTCAGTGGAGTTCTTGACCTATGAACATCCTGGAAATAGTTTTTTTGGCACTATCATAAATAAATTGGGCCATTTGTTGCTTGAGGGTGCCATTCTGGAAAGATTTTTCAGAACATAAAATAGTCCATGACTGCTGACAAACATTGGAAATGTCCTTTTGCATGCAATGAAAAGATGCCAAAGAAGCTGTATGAAAAAAGAAATAGAATAAATAAACAAATAAAAAATGTGTATTTATATTTTTCACTCATTTTAAGTTTAGAGCCTGCTACATTTGTAATATAGGAGTTAGGAATTGGTCAGGTCTACAAAAACGTTGCCTTCCTAAAAAGAAAATTAATAAACAAATTCATAATCTTCCTAAAACTCAAGTATATGCATAAATTGAAATTCCACAATATTTTATTTTATAAATATTGCAATACAGAATTTTTACCAGAAAAAAGGGAGCTTTTTTATTAGAGAACCTCTCTAGAGTCAGAAGTGCTAGGACTATATAATATAAGATCACAAAGGTGTTTGAATGTTTTGCACCACACTAAGGAGTTCTGATGTTGGATTCCTAAAAAAGCAAACAGCAGCTTCACACGTCAGTGCCTCATAATTGGTGACCAACACCATGTGATTGTTTTTTAACCTACATTCAGGTACTAGAAAATCTTAATTCCCTGATGCATAATGGACCAAATTAAACAGGAGAAACAGCAACTGTAATCAGCAGTTGTATCTCTTTCCTGACTGTGCTTTTGCAGAATGGGAGAGCAATAAAACCAAATCTTTCAAGCTGGAGAGACAAAATAGTTTCCTGTATCTGAAATAGTCATCCAGTAGATAAGAGGTGAGCATTGCCCCAGAAACATCTGTATTTTAAAGCAGCTAATGTAGTTCAAGTGGAAAGCATCCTGTGAGAATTCTTCTGATTTAGACAATTAGATATCCTTGCCCAGAATCTCATATGACTTTCACCTGTGTATGCCCTACTTCACCAAAAAATGCCACACTGGTTACCAAAATAACCAATGTAGGCTGCATTAAAGCTGAAGATCCAAAACCCCCCAGAATCTCAGATGTCTGGTAGCCTACCTGAGCATTTATTAAAAAAAAACAACAAAACACAAAATCCAAGGTCTTCTGTGTTTGATGTGATAGGATTTTCAGTCAACCAAGTGAAAAATTCAGGACCTTGTACAGAAGAAAGTAAGTTTGCCTACATGTTTTTTAATGGAAAGTCGAGTCAAAATGAAAATTCACTGATATTTACTTGTACTGTGGGAACATGCCAATTTCAGTACATTTCTGACAGATAGTTTAAATCCACTTCAAGTTATAAATATGATTATGTTCACCAGTCTATCCAAACGGTGTCTGTTTCCCTTTTTAAACCTTGTGTGATTTCCAAGAACTGGAGGTTTTCACCTATTTTTTTCCATGACTAGGACTCCAACTTGCTACTTACTTCCAGAAGTGAAAGTTTATATTTTCTTGCTTGACTGAGATGTACTGTTTTTCTATTTACATATTTCTGTAGGTGGGTCTGGCCCCAAGAACTCAAAAATCACTAGTCAATGCTCACAATACAGCAAAGCACCCAAATACAAGATAAAATTAGATAATATGTCTATTCTGTTGGAAACCTAGTAGTAAGAACACGCTGCTCATAGAACTGATAAAGCTGTTCAGAAACATCCCTTCAAAATTTCTCTTGAAACTCTTAGATTCAGTAAAATTGGGATACTTGCAATGTAGTTCAGCTTCATCAAATACCTGCCAAGTCTCCCACTCAGCCCTGCAGCAGTTTAGTTCAGGGTCAGAAATCCCAGAGTTGCCATTGTACAAGCCAACTGGGATGGAAGAGATATAAGTAAAACATGGGGGAGGTGGGGGGGGTGAGAGTGAGGGAAAGTCATCTTTCTTTTCCTGTGCATCCCTTATCACCCTGCATGGGTGATCATACAGCCACAGCAACCTTGCTTGTGCCACACAATCTAGGATTAAATAAACATTTGTGTTCTTTATAGTAGTAGGGCAGATTGCAAATATGAAATTGCATTCATCATGTAATTAGGAAAGTTAGTATACAGTGCAAGCTGGGTGTGAATGCTACACCTGTACGCAGGCTGGGGGTACTCAAGCTGTAATCAACCTACCACTGGTAGCAGTGAGTTTAGACAATATTTGGTGGCTAGATAAGGACCCAGAATCCCTGGCAGGCCTGTTCTTCACAATCAAAATGTTTACCATTATGGGAATTTACTAAACTGTAATTGTTTTTCCTGCAGTTTCCCATGCCAGGTACATGCTCAAAGCTGATTCATTTTGATGTTTCTGCAAAAAAATGGTTTGGTCATTTCTGAGAATGATAGCAGAGGAGGGTACACATATTGGCTGTTCTGAAAGCCTTTTGCATCTTTTACAATGGGAAGTCCAGGTAGCTGAAATGCACTTTTACTTGACATGAGATACACAAAACAGAGAGAGAGAAATAAGAGGAAAAGAACAATAAAATGAAAACAGTTAAATAAATCTGCTTCCATCATACCTGCTTCTTTCTGTGTATGCTGTTCAGGAGAATAACTTCCAAGAATCTCTGGCAGAAATTTATCAGACATTACTCTGAATACTGTATTTCAGGAGGAAAAGAAAATGAGCCTACAAACTGCACTCATGAAGTTGTTTCATCCCATTGTCTTCAGGTAACAGGAGTAAATTTGTCTGACATCTTCCTGTTAGTAATAGTGCCCTGATTTCATATGCCACTGGCATATTAGCTCATTACTTAATTGGTTAGTAAACAGGTATATTCAATAATCATGGTGGACTGTGCCGAACTGCCAGTCTTTTTCTACAAACATATGTTGGCAATTAAAAATGATGATTTACAAGGATCTATTACAAGCAGTTGTAGGTTGCTATGAATTTGTACAGGTTGAGAAAACACGTTCAAGTTTTCAAGCTATTCTATGTCTAAGAAAGAAGAAAAGCAAAGTGGCTGGCATAGCACAGGTACTTCCCCTTGACCAAATGGACAGGGCAATGAAGAAAACCAGCAAACACAAGGAGATCTGTCCAGCTTTGTGAGATACTGAGCCATAGGGATTCTCTGATAACACTGCTAAAAGACTGCATTAGCACAGCCAGAAAATACAAGCAGATAATCAAATGACAGTGAAAATGGTAGGGTGGATAAATCTGGTTCAACAGGGAGTCTTTATTCAAAGGGGCTGATACTGCAGTGTCGTGACGCAGTTCGGCAGGCTGCAGCGAGGCCGGCATGTGGCTCCATGAGAACAATAGCTATTGACTACAGATGGGCACTTCCTCTCCTAAAACACTCCTCGCAGCTCGCTGGCCGGGAGGGATACGCAGACATACGCTCCAATCTCCATGGCAACCACTTGCTTCAGTGTGACATCAAGCCCAGATCAAAACTCCATAGGCGTCAGATAGTACATGCTGTTTCTTTCCTTGAATTAATAATATTGATTTAAAAGGCAGGTTCCATTAACTGTTTCCTCTCTATGCTGGGGATAATTACTGTCTGTCGTGCCTGTATTATTCCGGTGACTTGAAAACAGGAAGCACAGCATCAAGTTAAATAATTCATGCTGTGCTGCTGCTCACTCTGCTCTTAGAAGCAGAGTTATTGCTAACTGGGCAGGGTATGCCACACGGTAAATGTCTAATTGCTCTCTCCTGATAAGATTATTTTTCTGAAAATGCTTTAATTCTTCCAAGCAGAGGCAGACAATAGAGACAAGTGACCAAACAATAACAGCTTGCATGTGTACTGCTGAGATTTTCCTTCTGAAAACAGTGAAAACTGCAATTGAGGCTTCGCTCCTCTTTATCACTCCTCTTCCCCTCTCAAAGCAAGCAGTGTGAAGAACTCTTTTCAAAAAGCAAACACTCAATCATGAGAGACTGGTGGTGAGGGAGTTCCTTATACTACTCTTTAGGAGCAGCCCCTCAGTCAATTATATGATGTTAGTAGGCTCTGCAGGGCTTCCCAGTTAAATCTTCCAAAGCTGCAATGTTGGTAGTCATGATTCGGTGTCTCAGGGTGGGCTTGCTTGTAAAATTGGATGAAAAAGGAACAGAAATCTCCAGGTTTCTGTGGTGCATGTGGAGTGCCTGAAGGAAAAAAGCCTGAGCAAACCAGGACAGTGCCACTTTTTAGTGAGGGCTAGGAAGCAGGGATTTTTTACTATCTAGGCAGCAATATTTTTGGCATCTGAACAAGCTTTTCTGTTCACAAAGGGAAAGCTACTGCTTTGGGGATATATTAGGAAACTGGATATGTGATAGCATTCAAGAATGTCAAAATGGCACTGAGTCACCTGGACAGTAGGTCATCTATTGCCTGGGCAAATGTTCTTACTCACTATGAGAAGTGTTGATTAGCTGGCTTAATTGGAAATCTTGAAGCAGAACAGATTTCACAAAGGAACTGGAGGACCCTCTAATTCTGAACTCATAATGGTGAAAAATGTTAAACCTGATGAACCTCCACACCAGACTAGAAGGTGCCTACAGAACTCACGTTTTTACAGGATTAAGCAGTTAAAAAAGGCAAGAACAGATGTACCACTTCAGAACAAGAAGTTGCCTAATCCAGTAAATTGTTCTCAGTACTCATAAGCCTATGCCAGGAGAATGGAAGAAGAAGGCAGGAACAGGTAGCTGAGTGCAAGAATAGGGAAGTAACAGCATTTCCCCCAGTTTTTTTCCTATGTCTGTCTGCTTTCTGTACACAGGGATCTGTCAAACTTGACAAAGTCTATTTAGAAATCTCTTCTTTTTGTACTACTTCTCCTGAAAGCAAATGCACGTTTTCATTCTCAGCATCCTTTGGAAAGAAGTTGAATAGATCTAATACTTATTTTAAAGAAAGCTATTTTCCTTGTTTTGTTTTGAAACTGGCACCTACTAAATTTGTTCAAGAGCTTCTGTTCTCTGAACAGGCAGTGAAGTCTCAATGTCTATGACACCCTTATATGTAACTCAGAGTGGAGTGGGAGAAAGCAGTCTGGATTGCTGCCTGAGTTTTGGTGGATATTTGAGTCCATGTGTCTGAATGTAGGAGAAGTTTAGATGGATAGAATCAGTTTGTATCTTCCAATATATTGAGCAATAGGATTAGTCAGAAAAGTTCCTTTATCACAGATGTTAGTGATCAGCCTTCACCATGGAATTTGTCATGGTGAATGTCACCATGACATTCTTTCAGATATCCTCAAGCTATTGTGTAATGCAGGGAGTTAGGCATTTTTGTAAGAGTCTGTAAGAACAAAACCTAGCACATGGGACATCAGTCAAAAAGACTAAGAATGCAAGAAATTGCAGTGTATTCCTTTCACTCTTTTTTTCCCTCTATGAGAGTATTGCAAAGCTGGACAACTGAATCTAATGATGTCTAAATTCAATAAATGTTTTAGTTAAAGGATTGACCTACAAAGTGTGATACTAACATGACTGGGATAGGGGGGACTTTTGTTTATGTAAAAAGCAAAGATCAAAAATTGGTCAACCTTAACAGTGGAGAGGCATGACCATTTAAAGAATCATGTTCTGCTGAAACACTGGATGCCAGGTCTGTATTAAAGGGATTCCAGGTAGCATGCAATGTAAGACTCCAGTCTGTGTTTCATGTGCAGCATGGATTCGCTGCACATGTGGTGTATATAACCTGTGGTGGTGATTCCCCCCAGCCACATGTAGCACGAGAAAAACAGTTCTGAGGTGTTTGGCATCACACCTACTACACACTGGCAGCTGCAAGCCACGGCCATCCTTCAAACTTGGGATTAGGGTCTGGGCACTGTGAGGGCTGTTGTTTTCTTCATAACTCAGAGCAATTGACATTTCTAAAAATGGATTGTTGAAATGTGCTAGTCATAACATTCTGTTCTCTTCTCCTCAACTTCATGAAGCACATGCTTAGTTCAGCCACTCTGCCTAAATGATTTTTACTGTGGAAATCTCAGTGTCTTTCCCTCAGCTTTCTGTCAGTAGTACTGACCGAGTCCAAGTGGCTTTGGAATTAAAAATCAGAATCACCATAACCAAATTCAAGGAAAGGAAACAGATATTAAATATTGTTTTCTCTTTTATGTGTACACTTACACATGTATGTGTGTCTATATATATACATATAGTGTATACATATACTTAGAAGTTGAACTCTGTGATCCTTATAGTTGCTTCCAACTCAAGATATTATATGATCTATGATATATATATAGACAAACACAATTAATAAGAATTCCTCCATTTCTATTTTTCTATTCTTTAACACCACTTACCCTCTGTATGCACTACCACTATACTGTACATACAGGACAGACCCCAGGCCTATTGTAATGTGCACTATGCAAACTTGAGAAAATTATCTATTGAGAACAGATGAAATATAAAAATGCAGATGAAAATGGTGACAATGAGAAAATATTCATAACTTTTAAAGATGGTTTAAAGATTGATGTACTAGCTAACAACCAGAAATACAAGAGAGCTTAGCACTTTCGTACGAGTGAGCTATATAAAGGGTGCAATGCAGTATGAAAAAGAATGAAGCCGTTCATTTGAAAATACATGCATGGGGAGAATAGTGAGGGAGGTGATGGTAAGGCTAGAAGTGAAATTTGCATACCTGCTTTCTTGTGAAATTTGTATCATTAGAATAAACTGGTCCAAATGTTATCCTAAGATGCATCCAGTGTTAGAATTCATGAAAAGAGCTAACATTTTTCCTTGAACAGGGTAGCATAACTCAGGAGCTGACTGCACTGTCAGTCATCAGACAGCAGTGTTGTAGCTAAAACAGTTATAAGCATGTGAGAAGGATAGGTTTTGTAAGAAGTAGTAGTATCTTTTATCAGGTCACCTGACATAACAGGAAGCAATGGACAAGCTTCTGAGGATAAGACTTTCAGAGCAAGAAAAGTGTCTCTATTGTCTTTATTTATGTGCTGTAGATTTCCTTTTATAAGATTCTTATGGCATTTATAGTTGCAGCAAGTTAACTTATGAAATATTGTTTAAATAATGCTGATTAATAACAATATTAGCATAATAATATTATCATTGCCTAAAGTTATGTGATCTGCAGTAAAAGTCCCAGCAAGTGGAAACATATAGGAGAGCGGTTGAACCTTGTAGGATTATGCAGACAAAAAAAGACATGGAGATAAGACCCTGAAACAAAAAACATTGGATATGCCTTCAAATTTGGACTGCTTTCTGACCAGGTGTGTCAAGCTTGATATAAAAATTATGTTTCAGTTCTCTGCAATATGGAATCCAACTACAGCTAGAAGAAAGTATCCTTGCAAGAGTTTATTTTGAATATGTATTTTGACACTGATTTTCTGAGGTATATACTGTTTAACTTCTTGTGCATTTTTTTGTCAGACCACACTTGCTACATTTTGCATTATTGATTAATTTTCAGCAAATTGGAAAGAGAAGTTGAACTCCCAAAGATAATAAAATTTCTGCAAGTTTCATGAAGAATATTGTCTGGTTGAAGGAGAATGCCAGGGAGGGAAAGAAAGGCAGAATTCATCTGTTATATGTCTTGTTTTGGCAGCAGAATGCATGTACCTACTGGCCAGTCAGCCAAGCATACTGACTGGCAAACAGAAATGTGCACAGCTTTGGGTAGTCACAGCTAATGACTAATTTCATCTGTTATGTGGTTCATGGAACAACCTACTCTTATAGCTTTAACTATGGAATTGTTGTAATACAAAAAAAAATGGGGAAAATTGTCAGTAAAGAAATGTTGAAGACATATGTTATTCTCCACTGTCTGATTCGGCTTCATGTTACAAATAGCCTTCCAAATACATGAGAGCTCCTGAAGGCAGTTTTATGTAGCATGATATCCTACCAAACACAGTGCCAAAATGCCACAAGGATATATTCAAATTTCAATATTCATGATTTTTATTAAGTTATAGACTAAGCTTGGCATCACAGGAGAGTAAAAGCAACAATCATGCTGTGCCTCTACTTTCTGGTTTAGGAACACTGTACAGTTCTCAAAGAGCGAGGTTTCAAACGAAGTAACTGAGAGTACAGTTGCCTGATGTTGGAAGCTGATCTGAAATCTGTGTTCAACCCTGATGGTGCTCCTGTCCCACCCCCAACCCCCATGATTGCTCTGTACCATCAAGCCATCAGACACCACAAGGACTGATCTGCTAAGAATCTAGTATTTTCCAGGGGGTTTGGTTTTTAATAGGATGAAGTCCATAATCTGGATGACCACAATGAAGAATTTGGAAGTTCTCATTCTGGGGCAAAGGAAGAGTAAGACTCTGTTCCTTTCAGTGGCAACCCAGCCTTA